TGGGGTGCTGTGTGTACATTAATGAGGAAAAAAAATTAACTTAAATGATTTTAGCAAATGGCTGCAATATAACAAAGAGTGAAAAATTTAAGGGGGTCTGAATACTTTCCTTACCCACTGTATATATACTGCATATATTTGTGGTGCTCCTAAATTTTTGCTGGTGCTCCTAAGTTGGGAGCACCTGTGCTACCAAGTAAAAAAAGTTAACTTTGAGCCTTGATTTAGCTACAATAACAGAAATAACCTGGTAAATACCATATGATGTTGGGGGTCAGCAGGATTTTTATTCGGCAAGTATGTATTTAATTGATTCAAAACTGAAATACAACTGAAATACAAGTAAATACATTTATAATGTTACAAAAGATCTAAAATAAATGCTGTTCTTTTGAGATTTCAATTCATTAAAGAATCCTAAAAAAGTTTCCACAAAAATATGTCAACACTGAAAAAATAAGAATAAACTTTTTTTGAGCACCAAATCAGCGTAATAGAATGATTACTGAAGGATCATGTGACACTGAAGACTGGAGTAATGGTTGTTGAAAATTTTGCTTTGCATCACAGGAATGAATTACATTTTAAAATATGTATATATATAAAAAAATAATAATAAAATTTCACAAAAGTACTATTTTTACTGAGCATAAGAGACTTCTTGTAAAAGAGCATAATAGGACCCCTTTAAGCAGTACAACTGTTTTCAACATCGATAATAAAAAAAATAAAAAAAACTGAGCACCAAATCGGCATATTAAGAGTGATTTCTGAAGGATCATGTGCGACTGAAGACCAGACTAATGACTGCTGAAAATTCAGCATTACTACCACAGAAATAAATTACATTTTAAAATATATTAAAAAAGAAAACAATTATTTTAAACTGCAATAATATTTCACTATGTTACTATTTTTATTGTATTTTTGATCAAATGAATGCAGCCTTGGTGAGCAAAAGAAACTTCTTCCAAAAACATTAAAGAGATCTTACCAACCCAAAACCTTTGAATTTTAGTGTATATTTATTTATTTATTTTCCAGTTGGTGTACCCAAGTAGTTAAAGACCAGGGCTGGTAACCAAAAGGTTACAGATTTGAAAATAAAAAAAATAAATCATCCTGATCATGAGAATTCTATCCATCCATCCATCCATCCATCTATATGTCCTTCCATTCATCCGTATGGATCATGTGACACTGAAGACTGGAGTAATGGTTGTTGAAAATTTTGCTTTGCATCACAGGAATGAATTACATTTTAAAATATGTATATATATAAAAAAATAATAATAAAATTTCACAAAAGTACTATTTTTACTGAGCATAAGAGACTTCTTTCAAAAACATTTAAAAAAAAAATCTTACCAACCCCAAACTTTTGAATTGTAGTATATTATGGCCTAATAGTTAGAATGGTGAAAAATGTCATTTTTATAGTCTTAAAACAGGACTCAGGTGCCATAGTGTGTGTGGGTCTGTGCTATAGATAGAGCTGTCCGATGGTTCACTGCATGTGTTAAAGAATATGAGTGAGTCAGTAAGTGTGAGTCTGTTGCTAAATGAGTCAAGTGAGTCATTTTGTGTGTGAGAGTGACTCATTCAATGTGCCTGAGTTTGTGAGTCATTATCCTGCGTTTGTGTCACCCACTGCTGTGTGTGTATGTGTGTGTCTTACCTGTCAGAAGTGTGTGTCATTCGAAGCAGCAGAGTGTTGAAGAGGCCTGTCAGTTCTCTTTTTCTTGTATAATGAAGGATTACAAACAATTATAACATAGAAGCACCGTAACAAGTACCCCAAACAAATGATACCTGTTAGATTGCTGCTCATAAACTGAAAATGTATATAGGGAAATGTCTTGATAGATCAGATTTGCATTACAGGGCCTTGATACATCAACAAATAACAGTGGGAGTTTCCAATTTATGGATCCTTAAGGAGTTTTCAGAAGAGTTATTCCATAAATAACAAAATTAAATCAAAAGCGTCATTTGTATTTCCCCCCAGATGGTAGGTAGAAGGAGAAGACTCCTAATGAGGATAGTAAAACATTTTATTAATGTACAGGAGTGTAACGAATCAGCTCATGGGAAATATGAATAATTAATCATAACTAGTTATAATTAATTATTCATATTTTAGATCCGCTGTAGATATTTAGCTGACCTCTCAGGGTCAACCGTCTTGTCAATTCTAAGAACGTTAATTTCCTGGTTAAGGGAAATAACTTCCTTACTGTACAATTCTACAAAAGCTTGTAGCATAAATCTGCATGACTAAGTGACTCCAGTTATGAGCAAACAATGAACCACGTCAAGTGTGATACAAGTAAGGTTTTATTAACCACATAAGCACTTAAACTAGTCTAACATACACACACACACACACACACACACAATCGGATCTTTTTTTGTGGTAATAAAAATAGACCAAAGCAAACAATAGACTTTAAAATGGCAATCATAATTGGTTCAAATAAAATATCAAAAGCAAGTAATCATATGGTTTTATTGAACAAAACAGTTAAAATACATAATGTAATAAAACAATATAATCATAACTTATGTACATTATGTATTATATCAAATGCCTGCAGAGGGAACTAGGGAATTGCTAGGGTGTTTTGAATGGTTGTTAGGCAGGTGCAAGAGTATTATGTGTGATTGTTAGGTGGTTGCTAGGGGTCACTAGTGCGGTCTTGGTGGTCACTCTGTGTGGCTGTTAGATGGTTGCCTAGGTGTTTTGGTTTGTGTGGAAGCAAAGCGGTTTCTAGGGTGTTCTGAGAGGTTCTTGTGAATTGATAGTCATTTGCTAGGCTATTGGGAGCGGCTGCTAAGGTATTATCAGGCAGTTACTAGGTTGTTCTCTGTGGTTTTTGAGAGGCTGCTAAAATGTGCCCACCTTCAATTCACTATGATATTATGCTAGATATTTGTGTGGCCCTTTCACAATGTAAGTCTATGGAATTTTTTCAAAAAGTAATAGTATACTTCTCCTCATTAATCGGCACAATTTGAGCAATCATTCATGTCCGAGGCTCTAATAATGCAGGATGGGTTACATGACAAAATTTTGCGCAAAAGAATAAGCATGTGCTTGCTTTAGCAGGCACCACCAAAAAAAAAAAAAACACTGTAGTGCCTATGTTTCATTTAGACAGCACAGATGTTTGAGAAACACTCCAGCGACTGTGGATGCTCTCTGCATTTCACCACCTCCCCCACCAGGCGTTTCATCAAACCCAGCATTCACTGTCGCGCGTCAAGGCAGGTTTGTTTGCATACATGCACATTAATGCAAGGTAAGGCTGGAAGAGACTTTTAAGAAATAAAGCCATTCATCCCCAGTGTGAGAAACAAAAACAATGACAGCTGATGAACGGCTCTCCGTTACAAGCGTTAATACGAAATTAATGTATTTGTATTGCTCCGCAGTGTGATTTATTTCATCTCTTCTTAATAAATACACCACACTGTGTTCATCTAAGGCAGGAGGGCGAACTAATTTAATTACCAAGGCTCAATAAGTCTCTTTATTGTTTTACGAGGTCTCCAAAGTAATCTCAGAGAAATACAGGCACTCATCCATAACAGATTCAACATGGCTGTGCTTTATACAGGAATACCTGGTTTAGGAGTAATTCTAAGAGCCATTTTAGGTCCTGGTGGTCCAGTTCAGACTGGTTCTGCTTGAAAAAGGTGTTGAGGAACGACACAATGTCCACCAAGAGCCTCTCATCTTGGCGGCAAGCTGGATGTACCATCAGAAATCTGTCAGAATAATAAAGAGAGTTTACTCTATCATTCAGATTTTTGGGGTCGGAAAGATGTTTAATGTTTTTGAAAGAAGTCTCTTATTACCATGGTTGTATTTTTCTAAACAAAAATACATCAAAACTGTAATATTGTGAATACTGCATTGTTTTATAATTTTATTTATACTACCGTTAAACTACTAAGATTTTTTTTTTATATTAAGTCTCTTAAGCGACACGCAACAGCAAAGCGACACAATCCCATTCATTTCAATGGAGAGCTTTCCGGCGACACGAGCGACAGCGGCCGTTGGCGACCAGATGGGGCGTGTCTAGCGACGCGACAAAGTTCAGAATCCTTCAACTTTATGCAAATGAAGAGTGACAGCCAATAGGAAACAAGACGGTAGAGCTCATGTGATCGTTCTCCTCTCAGTGCCGTAGATAAACATACGCAATGGAAAAAAGTAGGCTCTGTTTCTCATTCATTTTTGTTTGTATGTACGGATTTAATTTAGATTTAGATTATATTTAGTCTTTTGCCTCCAAAATGTTTGTACTTAGCGGCAAGAAACCTGATTCGCTGTCAAGGCAACCAGTATTGAGAACGCCCACTAGCAACCTCATCGCCAGCCCCAGCGACAAAAGTCGCTGCTAGTGTGAACGGGGCTTTATGCTCACCAAGGCTGCATTTATTTGTTCAAAAATGCAGAAAAATAGTAATATTGTGAAAAATTATTACAATTTAAAAGAATTGTTTTCCATTTGAATTTGAATTTATTAAAGGGATAGCCCCTTGAGATGATATATAATATATTTAAAATGGAATTTATTCCTGTGATGGCGAAGCTGAATTTTGAGCAGCCATTGCTCCAGTCTTCAGTGTCACATGATCCTTCAAAAAAACCATTCTAATATGCTGATTTGGTGCTCAAGAAAAATCATATATTATTATTATCAGCTGTGCGGCTTAATATTTTTGTGGAAACTATGATACATTTTTTTTTTCAGGATTCTTTGATAAATAGAAAGTTCAAAAGAACAGCATTTATTTGAAAGAGAAACTTTTGTATCGTTATAAATTTCTTTACTGTCACTTTTGATCAATTTAATGCATCTTTATTGAACAAAATTATTAATTTCTTTCAAAAAAAATTATAATAACTAAATCAAATATGACTTTAAACTTTTGAACAGTGCTATATTTAGTTTCCTGTAGCACCAGTGTAATTTCTAAGCTCGATTTTTGCCAAAGATAAAACATTGTTCTGCTTCATGTCTGAATGTGTCAGCTCATTCATTGTTTAGGGCTGTGATATGCTGGCGCACTCCATCAAACTCATGCAAAGTCATGCCTGGTGATCACAAATCACACATCTGGAGGTACAGGGAAAATAAATCAATAGATCACACACAGAGAGTTTACCTCTCTACAGCATTGTGCCAGCTTAGGGTTTGCAGGATATTCTTGCTGCTCTGGGCGGTGGATTTGAGTGCAAGGCGGTCAGCGAGAAGGTACAGGTGCATCCTGGTCATGGCAAAGGTCACAGTGTTGTGGGAGCTCGCGTCACAAACCGCGTGAACACAGTCCTGTAACCCCAACCTGAAGTTGCTTATTCTTAAGACCACCGCCTGAGATTTGGACAGCACTAGATCACCATGAAACCTTAAAAGTAAATAATGAGGGATAAAGAGGTGTAACAAGAAAATGTTAAGCCATTCAGAGCTCTAACTCGCGTTCATGACCAGAGTTCAAACATGGCCAAAACAGCAATGGTTCTCGCATATGTCGTAATCAAACGTTTTAAAATTCTGGATGCAAACATGTATTAGATATGACCTTTGGTGATGATTATAAATAAATGTGATCATATGAAACTTTTTATGGCGCCTTTTTTTTTTTGTACAGATAGTCACTGAACTGTTGATGTATTGTAAGTGTTACATAAAGATTTTTCAAAAAATCTTTCCACAGATAAATAATGGCATACAGCTTTGCAACAACAATAAACAATGACAGAATTTTCATTTTTTCATTTATTCCTTTAAGGAGGCCAGCAGATCTGTAATCATTTTAATCTTGGTAACAAAGCAACAGCTGCTGCGTATTAAAATGATGTTTGTCCTACACCATAAATTGTATGCTGCAAAAGTTTCTGAACAGTTCAACAATGAAAGCATTCTATCTTAACTCTTAAGATGATCCAGATGTACTACCCAAAACTTCTAGTGCTCAATACAATTTTACTGCTTAAAAATATAAATAAAACATTTTCAAAATGTCACTTATTAAATTGATTTGTTAACATTAGTAAATGCATTAGCGAACATTAACTAACAAAGAGAAATATATTTTTAAAGCATTTATTAATCTTTGTTAATGTTAGAAAAGTACAATTTAGTTAACAATTTTATTTTTAGTTAAAATAAAGTTAACAAATGCAACTTTTGATTTAAAAAATGTATTAGTAAATGTTGAAGTTAACACTGACATATTTAATATACTGTAGAAGTATTGTTCATTCTTAGTTCATGCATTTAACTAATGTTAACAAATGAAACCTTATTGTAAAGTGTTACAAATTAAATTACATTTTTAAAATCCCTGAAAACCCAAATGCAACTTACTCAGATACATCACTCCTAAAACCCCTCAGATGCTCTAGCAGTCCATCAATCCCAGAATGCCATGCTGCGTTCCAGGTGATCTGCAGTGCTTCCCAGGCAGGTTCAGACTCAGCAGGTCTGAGTATGGAGGGAGAACTGAACAGTAGGGACTCACTGCATGGTGTGAAGAAGCTTGAAACAGTAGATTATACCTGTGAGAAATTATGAGATAACACATTTTATATACAATTAATCTGTCAAGTAATAGTTAAATCACCATTTAATTTATGCATGACACCTCTGAAAGGAAGGTTATGGAGAAATTAAACGGCCGTTTCTTTTAATGCACAGCTAGAATGTCGTAATGGATGTGATTTACCTCCATATAATGGCAGCAGGCAGTGAGAAGGAAGACAGGCCTGTGTCTGAGCCAGCTTTATCAGTCCTGATCAGGGAACAAAGATGTTGAAATGTAACATGAGCCAAAGCATTCTAGTTTTTACCACGTTTTTGTCTATACAAAGAAAGTCACTGGAGTCCAAAACAACACTGGACCCCACTGACTTTAATTTTTGGGTGAGTCATCCATTTAAGGGAACAGTTCACCCAAAAATGAACATTTCCTTACATTTACTCACCCTCAGGCCATCTAAGATGTTAATGAGTTTGTTTCTTCATCGGAACAGATTGGGAAAAATTTAGCATTACATCACTTGCTCACCTGCAGTGCATGGGTGCCGTCAGAATGAGAGTCACTCAGCTTTGGTAGACAAGGGAAGCAGATGAGGAGCCTGACCGACAGGGTTTTTCATGTGCGAGATGTTTTGATCCATTGGTGTGCAAGTGATGTAATGCTACATTTTTCCAAATCTGCTCCAATGAAGAAAGAAACTCATCTACATCTTGGATGGCCTGAGTACATTTTTAGCAAATTTTAATTTTTGGGTTAACTATTCTTTTAAGTTAATCAAAACACTTATTCATAATTATAAGTGTCATCAAATTAGGATTTTATTAATTGACAGGGTTGAATGCAGCTGGCTGCAGATATTTTACATATCGACCAATGGAGTGCAAGATCATACAACAAATAAAACATACCAAACATCCATTCTTGCTATTTCATCAAACAGCAGAATACACATCAATGCGGCAGCCTCGCTCACATCCCCCTGCTTCTCCTTTATCAACAGAGAAGCTTAAAAATATGCAACAAAATAAGTCAAATTACCAGGAGAGCAATCATTTAAAATCACACAAAAGTGTCAAAGTAAAAATGTGCAAAGCATGAATTGTACATAATATACTGTATACACATTAAAAATGGTTAATTGTGGCATAGTAGCATTGTAGCAAGTAGATTTAAAGGGCCACATCCTGAGAGCAAGGAGAAATAAAACATGAAAACAAAACTATAACAGGGAAAGCAACACAACTAATCAATTATAGATGTTACTGTAGAACAAAACAAAACGGGCTTGAGCCAGAAAAACTAATTTTACATCACCATACTCTAGGCGATCACAAACATTCATAAACAGCATATCGAGGAGCTCTACACTTGGAAATGCTTATAAATGTCTGGACATGTGGGGCATGCATAAAAATAACATTTGCCATTTATGCAATGTTCTAGAGAACTGGAAGGAGAGTGTCAATAGCTCTGCATTTTTAGCAGTAAATATGGAAATAAACAAAATATGCAATTACAAGCAGCAATTAAGTGGCCAAACACAACAGTGGACCTTGTGATAAGCAAGTAAATGCATAGATCTGTGCTGTCATGACATGTAATCAGTTTTGTTTGTTTGTTTGAAAGGCTAGAAGTTATGTAATTGCTTATAACTATTGATCAGTATGTGGTGCTGGCTTCAAACTCTGCACAAACCCTAAGGGCATGGTGGGAATGAAGTTTTGTTTCAAAAATTGCCATTAAGTTGATTGCAAGTCTTGAAATGGTTATGAAATTCAAATATCCAATTACTCATATTTTTAGTTTTGTTGTGCAGGTGGTCTAAGCTAATTTTGTAAAAGATCACAGACCTTGAAAACACGTCAATCAAGCCTTCACAAACATATGAAGAGAAGAATCATGACTTTAATTTATTTTCAAAAATTATGTTTTTTGGCCACTGTAATTACATTTTTGATTAGTAAGAGATGCTGTCACCAGTAAGAAATGATGTCAATGACATTTACCAAGGATCGGTTTAATATGTAATGTTACCAATAAATGTTCTCACTTCCTGTTTGGCATCCATGATGTCAAATGTGTCAATGTGTTAAGCACAATGCATTTGGTAATAAAAACTTTTCACCACTGTAGCCTGAAATGTTCATATGTTAAAGCTTCTTGATCACCTAATCAGCATACCAGAATTTAGTGATGCCATTAAAATAATAAATTACATTTTTAAATATATTCAAATAGAACACTGCTATTTTAAGCTGTAATAAAATTAAAATATTACTGTATTTTCCATCAAACAAATGGAGTTTTGGTGAGCATAAGAGACTTCTTTCAAATTTTTTTACATTTTTTCTTCTTTTCAAATTTTACAAAAAAAATCCAACCCTCAAACATTTGAATGGTAGTGAATGGTCTTGAAGTTGAACTGTTGGTGGCACTAGAAAGATTGAGAATGACCCCAAAATTGGCACTATGAACACTGAGACCCCTCCCAATCCTTGTGCCAAAGTGGCTGACAAACTCCAAGAGAATGAAAAATAATAAGAAAACTAACAGCTATAAAAGGTGCCTATAAAACTTTGGTGCTTGGGACTAATTAACTATCTACGGTAAACTGGATGAATTAAGGTCGGAGGGATGTTTTGCGGGCCATACCTCTGAGCAGCATGATGAGAAGAGACGTCTGCTGAGCCAGACTGTGACACAGGGAGGGGTCTGCAAACAGCAGCTTCCTCAGCATGCATATGCTGGGCTCCAACAAACAATCCATGCTCTACATAATGAATAAAAAACCTGAATGCAAAACCTTCTAGTGTCAATAGATCCCAGAGGTAAGACACAAGAAATGAGTTGAAAATGTCTGAGCTTCTTGGTAGTACTGAATAAAGTGAGATAACTAAATTAGTTTTGATAATCATCAGAAGAACTTTCACACTCTGCTGAACCTGGGGAAAACCACACCTGCTATAAGCTACTGAAGTGCTAAGTTGTTTAGAAAGGTGTTATACCACTGGTACTGCCTTGCTATTGGAAAAATCATAACAAGTCATCATGATTGAGTCTAGAAGTGTTTACACAGTCAACACAAACACGACCGCAGTCATAACATTCACAGTAAGACTATAACCGCAAAAAGTTAGATAGCCTCAAAGCCAAGGCAAGTAGTAAAATCAAACAGCCAAAGCAAAGTCATAATTGACGGTAACAGCACTAATTAGGCATGGCAAATGAAGGCGACGTTTCAGATTCTGCTCATGGCATAATTGCCAGACATTTCGGTGCATAATTCTCACTAATTAGCTAGATTAGCAGGCCTGAATACTCGACAAAGCAGGCAGCTTTCAGCCTAGGGATGTACAGATCACGCAATAGATGTGAACTAATACTGACTCACTCTTGACTGACACCATTAACGCAAGCATCATGCCCAGGCCCCAGTTTCCCAAATTCATTCATGATAAAAGGCTCACGAAACAAAAGAGAATGTGAGGTTTACCGCCACATTGTTGTTGACACACTGTGTGATGAAAGATATGAGCTTGTCTGATAAACCCAAGGTCTTCAGCACAGCATGCATTGATGAATCTATAAAGAGCATAATGAAATATAAATCAAGACTGGCTGTTTCTAGCACATGTTGAAATATGCTATCTGCTTTGTTAATTTACGCTTCAGAGATCAAGCACTTGCTTCAAAACACTTAAAATTTGTTTGTGAGGTGTTTTGAGAGAAATGGAGCTCACTGAGGAAGGACAACATGGTTAATTTGATGCAAATGACAAGTCCACAAATTAGGCTAGAATGCTTTATTCAGTTAAAAAAACAAAACAACAACAGTAAAACATTATTCCTCAGTTTAATTTGTATCAAATTAAATATGGTGTCTTCCCAGACTAAAGTTCATTCGGATGGTTGGATGCACTAGTGTTATTTTAGCATCATTGATATACCATTATAGATTTTGTGGTAACACTTTACAATAAGGTTCATTAGTTAACAAAAGTTGTGCTTGTTAACATTAGTTAATGCACTGTGAATTAACATGAATAACAATGAACAACTGTATTTTAATTGACTAACATTAACAAAGTTTAATAAATAGTGTAATAAATGTATTGTTTATTGTTTGTTCATGTTAGTTAATACATTAACTAACATTAACTAATGGAACCTTATTGTAAAGTGTTACCGATTTTGTTAATATTGAATTAGACTTTATTTTTTATTTTCTGCTATCATTTTCATTTTAGTTACATTTTAAATAATTTTTTTGTCATTTTCATTTTTTTAAAATGTCTATTTAGTTTTAGTTATGTTAGTATTTCAAACTAAAAGAAAATGAGAAATGTTGCATTGGCAACTAGCTGAAATAAAATTTCAGTTAATGTCTATTTTATTCCGTAAAATAAACATAAAACATTCATATTTTTTATGGTTTTAGTTAACAGGAAAAACCCTGGGATGAGCAGATGGATCGATGAAAGTATGGATTCCTCACCTTGCAGAACAATAGTCAGCTGTTCAGCTGCAGATCTCCGCAAAACTAGATCTACCGTTTCCGACATGAGAATATTGTACAACTTATTTACAGACTCCACCTGAATAAACAACAGAATGTTAACCGAAAGCTCGTTTCAACACCACTAAGAATAAAGCAGAATTTTTCACATGATGTCAATGCCAAAAATGGTTCTTCACCAACAACTACTCAATACAACACTAGAGTGCATTACACTGCTGAGTGAGGACAGTGATTTACCTTCACATATGACTTGTCTGAATTGCTCAACTTGATGTCCACACTTTTATTAAGAACATAGAGATTAGGTAAACATGACAATGTGGAGCTGTCCAGGGTTGGTCTGGCGCCTTCAGCGCTGGTCAGGTGTGGTAGCAGATGTTGGACTGCTGTATTCCTCACACTAAAAGTTGCAAACAGATCCACAATATTTACAGCATTTGGGCACGTCTTTTCAAAGTTAAAGTAGCCTTGTCACCTGACCTGAATACAGCGTGCTGATTCGCTAAAATTGACTTATTGGCTTCTGTTCAAAAAACAACAAGGGCACTTGTCGGCTTCTGCAGTAAAACGTGAACTTGCGATGCCTTGAAAGTGGACAAAACCGGCTTTTTTGACTAAACGTTTTTAGGGTTCAGATCGCACTATATGTGGACAATAATGCACGGCAATCTTTTTTTTTTAAAGTGGCGTTTATCGGTTTTTGCAAATGAACTCTTCATGTAATTTTCAGCCTGTTAAAAATAAGTAAACTAACTTTTTTTTTTCTTTTTTTTTTTAAATAACTTATTTCTAAAATAACATATTTTACATTTAGTTCACAATTAAGTATATTTATTTAATGTTTTCGGACACTTAATTGCATGTTAACTAAATTAAAGCTGCAGTCCGTAAGTTTTGCCTCTTTGTCGCCATCTCTGTTTGAAAACCTGCAATTGCAGCTGTTTGCGGAATTATCTTCCTTGCGTGGGTTGTGCTCCGGCACGGCTCCAGCGGGGATGAATCTAATGTTTTGAGGAGTATGTGTGGCAGTCAGTCACCGCACGGAATGAAGTTTTGTTTCAAAAATTGCCATTAAGTTGATTGCAAGTCTTGAAATGGTTATGAAATTCAAATATCCAATTACTCATATTTTTAGTTTTGTTGTGCAGGTGGTCTAAGCTAATTTTGTAAAAGATCACAGACCTTGAAAACACGTCAATCAAGCCTTCACAAACATATGAAGAGAAGAATCATGACTTTAATTTATTTTCAAAAATTATGTTTTTTGGCCACTGTAATTACATTTTTGATTAGTAAGAGATGCTGTCACCAGTAAGAAATGATGTCAATGACATTTACCAAGGATCGGTTTAATATGTAATGTTACCAATAAATGTTCTCACTTCCTGTTTGGCATCCATGATGTCAAATGTGTCAATGTGTTAAGCACAATGCATTTGGTAATAAAAACTTTTCACCACTGTAGCCTGAAATGTTCATATGTTAAAGCTTCTTGATCACCTAATCAGCATACCAGAATTTAGTGATGCCATTAAAATAATAAATTACATTTTTAAATATATTCAAATAGAACACTGCTATTTTAAGCTGTAATAAAATTAAAATATTACTGTATTTTCCATCAAACAAATGGAGTTTTGGTGAGCATAAGAGACTTCTTTCAAAATTTTTTACATTTTTTCTTCTTTTCAAATTTAAAAAAAAAATCCCAACCTCAAACATTTGAATGGTAGTGAATGGTCTTGAAGTTGAACTGTTGGTGGCACTAGAAAGATTGAGAATGACCCCAAAATTGGCACTATGAACACTGAGACCCCTCCCAATCCTTGTGCCAAAGTGGCTGACAAACTCCAAGAGAATGAAAAATAATAAGAAAACTAACAGCTATAAAAGGTGCCTATAAAACTTTGGTGCTTGGGACTAATTAACTATCTACGGTAAACTGGATGAATTAAGGTCGGAGGGATGTTTTGTGGGCCATACCTCTGAGCAGCATGATGAGAAGAGACGTCTGCTGAGCCAGACTGTGACACAGGGAGGGGTCTGCAAACACCAGCTTCCTCAGCATGCATATGCTGGGCTCCAACAAACAATCCATGCTCTACATAATGAATAAAAAACCTGAATGCAAAACCTTCTAGTGTCAATAGATCCCAGAGGTAAGACACAAGAAATGAGTTGAAAATGTCTGAGCTTCTTGGTAGTACTGAATAAAGTGAGATAACTAAATTAGTTTTGATAATCATCAGAAGAACTTTCACACTCTGCTGAACCTGGGGAAAACCACACCTGCTATAAGCTACTGAAGTGCTAAGTTGTTTAGAAAGGTGTTATACCACTGGTACTGCCTTGCTATTGGAAAAATCATAACAAGTCATCATGATTGAGTCTAGAAGTGTTTACACAGTCAACACAAACACGACCGCAGTCATAACATTCACAGTAAGACTATAACCGCAAAAAGTTAGATAGCCTCAAAGCCAAGGCAAGTAGTAAAATCAAACAGCCAAAGCAAAGTCATAATTGACGGTAACAGCACTAATTAGGCATGGCAAATGAAGGCGACGTTTCAGATTCTGCTCATGGCATAATTGCCAGACATTTCGGTGCATAATTCTCACTAATTAGCTAGATTAGCAGGCCTGAATACTCGACAAAGCAGGCAGCTTTCAGCCTAGGGATGTACAGATCACGCAATAGATGTGAACTAATACTGACTCACTCTTGACTGACACCATTAACGCAAGCATCATGCCCAGGCCCCAGTTTCCCAAATTCATTCATGATAAAAGGCTCACGAAACAAAAGAGAATGTGAGGTTTACCGCCACATTGTTGTTGACACACTGTGTGATGAAAGATATGAGCTTGTCTGATAAACCCAAGGTCTTCAGCACAGCATGCATTGATGAATCTATAAAGAGCATAATGAAATATAAATCAAGACTGGCTGTTTCTAGCACATGTTGAAATATGCTATCTGCTTTGTTAATTTACGCTTCAGAGATCAAGCACTTGCTTCAAAACACTTAAAATTTGTTTGTGAGGTGTTTTGAGAGAAATGGAGCTCACTGAGGAAGGACAACATGGTTAATTTGATGCAAATGACAAGTCCACAAATTAGGCTAGAATGCTTTATTCAGTTAAAAAAACAAAACAACAACAGTAAAACATTATTCCTCAGTTTAATTTGTATCAAATTAAATATGGTGTCTTCCCAGACTAAAGTTCATTCGGATGGTTGGATGCACTAGTGTTATTTTAGCATCATTGATATACCATTATAGATTTTGTGGTAACACTTTACAATAAGGTTCATTAGTTAACAAAAGTTGTGCTTGTTAACATTAGTTAATGCACTGTGAATTAACATGAATAACAATGAACAACTGTATTTTAATTGACTAACATTAACAAAGTTTAATAAATAGTGTAATAAATGTATTGTTTATTGTTTGTTCATGTTAGTTAATACATTAACTAACATTAACTAATGGAACCTTATTGTAAAGTGTTACCGATTTTGTTAATATTGAATTAGACTTTATTTTTTATTTTCTGCTATCATTTTCATTTTAGTTACATTTTAAATAATTTTTTTGTCATTTTCATTTTTTTTAAATGTCTATTTAGTTTTAGTTATGTTAGTATTTCAAACTAAAAGAAAATGAGAAATGTTGCATTGGCAACTAGCTGAAATAAAATTTCAGTTAATGTCTATTTTATTCCGTAAAATAAACATAAAACATTCATATTTTTTATGGTTTTAGTTAACAGGAAAAACCCTGGGATGAGCAGATGGATCGATGAAAGTATGGATTCCTCACCTTGCAGAACAATAGTCAGCTGTTCAGCTGCAGATCTCCGCAAAACTAGATCTACCGTTTCCGACATGAGAATATTGTACAACTTATTTACAGACTCCACCTGAATAAACAACAGAATGTTAACCGAAAGCTCGTTTCAACACCACTAAGAATAAAGCAGAATTTTTCACATGATGTCAATGCCAAAAATGGTTCTTCACCAACAACTACTCAATACAACACTAGAGTGCATTACACTGCTGAGTGAGGACAGTGATTTACCTTCACATATGACTTGTCTGAATTGCTCAACTTGATGTCCACACTTTTATTAAGAACATAGAGATTAGGTAAACATGACAATGTGGAGCTGTCCAGGGTTGGTCTGGCGCCTTCAGCGCTGGTCAGGTGTGGTAGCAGATGTTGGACTGCTGTATTCCTCACACTAAAAGTTGCAAACAGATCCACAATATTTACAGCATTTGGGCACGTCTTTTCAAAGTTAAAGTAGCCTTGTCACCTGACCTGAATACAGCGTGCTGATTCGCTAAAATTGACTTATTGGCTTCTGTTCAAAAAACAACAAGGGCACTTGTCGGCTTCTGCAGTAAAACGTGAACTTGCGATGCCTTGAAAGTGGACAAAACCGGCTTTTTTGACTAAACGTTTTTAGGGTTCAGATCGCACTATATGTGGACAATAATGCACGGCAATCTTTTTTTTTTAAAGTGGCGTTTATCGGTTTTTGCAAATGAACTCTTCATGTAATTTTCAGCCTGTTAAAAATAAGTAAACTAACTTTTTTTTTTCTTTTTTTTTTTAAATAACTTATTTCTAAAATAACATATTTTACATTTAGTTCACAATTAAGTATATTTATTTAATGTTTTCGGACACTTAATTGCATGTTAACTAAATTAAAGCTGCAGTCCGTAAGTTTTGCCTCTTTGTCGCCATCTCTGTTTGAAAACCTGCAATTGCAGCTGTTTGCGGAATTATCTTCCTTGCGTGGGTTGTGCTCCGGCACGGCTCCAGCGGGGATGAATCTAATGTTTTGAGGAGTATGTGTGGCAGTCAGTCACCGCAC